GGAAATTTCTTCAACAATTCCCATGGTTGCTGAAATAAGAAAAGTTAAACAGTCACGGGAAGTACAAAGATATATTTATACTCAGAAACAACCGTCAAACAAAAAAGGTAATGATTGGAACGTCATAATGAAAACTGTCACTTCGTGATTGATGTAGCCGTAAAAAAACCCTAAAAGACGCTGAAGAGTTGCAGAACCAATCAAAAACTGCCATGTGTCACAGGCATTAAATGGAAGTGACATGCGAAGCGTCAGTTCTGGAGAAAGTATAATGATATGTAGAATGACGGCAAAAATTCTCGCTTTAATGGGATCCACTTCCCAAATATTCAATTGCTGAATAAATGGCAAGTGGGGGGACTATCTGTATTGGGGAAAATCAAGTTAACATTTGATTTTAATTATGTGCTGCCATATCAAGACACGTGGATTAATAAAAGAGTGACAACTGGCAAAGAGTATTAAAAGAGTTGTGAGCCTTAACAGGTACGAGCAAAAGTACCTGTTAATAAGAAGGGACAGTTACTCGTATCTCTTGAAAATTTGAAGAAACATCGGAGGAATGAACCTAGTTAGTAAAAAATACAGATACGTATTATCTGCAATTAATGAGCATCAATGAGAGGAAATGTTATACAATCTTCACGAAACAGTTACGATTTGTCAATTATAACATTACATTAATGTCATTAATTACTCATAATGGCTCTATTATGAGAGGAAAGAAACATAGTACTTAGAAATAACTATAAAAAGAGAGAAATAACATTTGTATGGGACACAATGATGATTACTGGAATATACTTATTTACATTGCATTAAACTTGCTTACTCTGTCATTCTTTCAATCCAAATTTTCTTTTTTTGATGCACCGTCATTTCTTTATTCGATTATCAGTAATCTGAGTTCTTTTAAAATTACGCTTTGACCGAAGTTCCTATTTTATGGTTAAACAAATACGTGTCATTCCTAAATTACTTTGATCACTAAATTCTAAAATACTTTATCTTTCCTTAAACAGCAATACTATACCTATTGTAGTAAAATGTTACATAGAAGAGTACTAATAACAGCATAATTACTCAATTATTTGTTAAAGAAGTGTCTAAACATTTTCAAAAAACAATAATAGCATCCACAAACTCGAATATCCATATTAAATGAAATATATATACACACTAAACACTACATGAATTATTAATTCATGTATTACGTACAATCTTTGTTTTAAAATCTCGGCATTAACTTATCCACGAATCAAACTACACGTAAAAGATCATACACTTTAAAGTCAGCAAAATTTTAACACAAGGTATTGGATTGATGTGAAAGTTTTACTTTAAAAGAAGTAACTCCTTCCTGTTTTAGAATGCAAGCACGGTCTGTGAAGAAATATAATACCTTTTTTTTCTTTTTTCTTTTTGGTGCAGAAATATAATACCTTAGTTGCTTCGATATTTTGGTTTGAGCCATTTTTATTGTGTGAAACGCAATATGTTAAGGTTTGGATTATAATGCATGTTAATTCAAGATACAAACGATTCTAACTTTATGTTCTCGAGTTGTATTCAAATTTGCTAAACCGTATGACCTTATTTTTTTTATTGTTAATTGTTGCTATTGTAGAGAGTGGAGTGTGCATCAAGTCCACTTTAAAGTTGCGATGCTAATGGAGTAGCATGATTATTAAGAGGTCTCATTAATTAAGTTCATGCACCAATTAAGGTCACTTAATTAATCATATTCTCTTTAAAATTTAAGGTTGCAAGGGAAGTAGCAATCCACTATTCTATATCAACTTCTAATTGGGTAATTTCCATTTTCTGTTTCTCCGTTTTAAGTCGTAACACTTCTATATTTACTTTATAGAATAAATAAAATAGGTAAAGAAATTTTGATTAAAAAATAATTGAAGGGACAATCTTACATTTTCAACATTCCAGGGCAAAGCCCCTAGAAAAAGGGGTGATATTCATTATCGATCTTTCTTTGTTTGGAACCTCGGGAAAACCTGTTGTCGCTATAGTTTCTCTGTGTCCTTTGAGTGAACATTTTATGCGTACTGGGTAAATTTCTACTGTGTAATAACTTACAAATCACACAAAAGATGTAAATTGCACTAGGCAGACCTTGTACGACAAGCTCGACCCAGAAGGCATTGAAGGAAATCGATCTCAAGTCATCTGAATGGATAACTGCCCTCCAAATCAACCGGGCCATCCACGAGGGCATAATGTAAAAATAGCACAGTATAGCCATTTTTCGGACTGGTCATTCAAAAATGGCGAGCGTTTACCAAGTCAATGAAAAATAGCCACCATTTTGCTGCAACAGTGACCGGTCCAGTATAATATACTGGAATTCGGTGCACATGTGTATGAACTCCAACATATTATGCTGGTCCGGTATACTTTGCTAGCTCCAGTATAATATAGTGGAGACTGGAGCACCGGTGCTCCAAACTCCAGTATATTATGCTAGACCGGTATACTTGCTGGAACTCCAATATATTATGCTGGAGTTCTAGTGTACTTATGTTGGAACTCCATCATATTATACTGGAGTTCGAGGATAAGTATGCTGGAACTCAAGCATAATATGCTGGGGTTCAAGTATACTTATGCTGGAACTCCAGCATAATATACTGGCGTATTTTCTGAGTTTTGAACAGTGTTTTCGCTCAGATTTATCTTTATATGAAAAGTGGCTAAATTTCGATTACTTTAGAAACTGAGCTATTTTTGAACAACCAGTTGTAAATCTGGCTATTATTGAATTTCACCCATATTATAGATCTTTCTTTCTGCGGTAGTTTCTACAACTTTTCGTTGAATACAAACGGTGAGCCCATTTTTGCGGGTCAATTAATTTTTTGGCTCTTTACAAACTTGCTTTTAGCTTTATGACCCTACTTTTTTTTTTACACATGAGAGATTTAGTTTTACATATAAGAGATCTATCTGTTACACATAGGAGATCTAAAAATGTCATTTTCTTAAATTCAAAATTGTAAAGAAACATGCTGTACAAATAGCACCATTTTTGCAAAGCATTAATGAATTTCTATCTATTTAATGGCAAGCAGCCCACTAATGAAAGGGAGGTGTTTCTTAATTAGTTGAATAACTAACTCTATTTTATACTCCCTCCCTTCACTTTTTTGCGCACCCCTTAAGAAATAATAAATGAGGTGCAAACTTTACCATGATATTTATATTAATTGATGCATATTTTTAATGGATATGAGAAAATGATTTGAAATGAGTAATTAATATTGTAGGTATAATAGGAAAAAAGAAATTGTCTTCTCTCTTGATATGTTAAACGTAACAAGTAAAAGTGAAAATCTATGTTTTCAATACTGGACAAGTAAAAGTGAACAGAGGGAGTACTCTCTTCGTTCACTTTTACATGTCTAATATTCTAAAAATAGATTTTCACTTTTACTTGTCACATTTAGCATATCAAGAGAGAAGACAATTTCTTTTTCATGTTATACTCACAGTATTAATTACTCTTTTAAAAGGATTTTCTCAAATCTATTAAAAATATGTATTAGTTAATACAAATATCATGGTAAATTATGTATTTCATTTATGTATTTATTAAGGGGTGGGCAAAGTCTATAATGGACAAATAAAAGTGAACTAAAATAGTATTATTCAGTCACTAATCATAGCCTGTAATTTTTACTCCAGTTGTACACAAGGGCGGATCTAGAGCAAAAGTTACGGGTTCCGGTGAACCTAGTAACTTTTGCATATACCCTGTATTTGTACTAAAAAATTCATTAAAAATATAAGAATATTTAGCTTGGAATTCAATTCGTTGGTCCAGTTATCATGTAGATTAACTTGAGATTGTTATAGGAACTCATAAACTTAAAATTCTGGATCTGACCTGGTTGTACAACACCTGATCTACATTCAAGCGATTTCACAGTTGACTCATTCATCACTATCGTACAAATAATTTTTCATTAAAAAAAAGTTTATAATTAAGCGTGCACTCGTTTAATTTATACACACCGATAAATTTGTCGTTTAGTTTATAAAATTATTATCCCCGTAAAGTCAGGATATTAAAGTAAATATTATTCAAATATTTATTCCGAGATATCATTATCTCCAGGCTCCAGCTCCTAAGGTTGGAGAATGTTCTCTCGTGGGATGATATCATAATTGAAAGGTAATAAAAACAAATAAAATGCTTTGGGGTGACTTTTTTTTTCCTCCTAAAGTTGTTGACTTTATAGTAGGCATGTCTAGTTTTTTCACTCATCTTTATGAATAAACAAGTCGATGATTACGCCTAAATATGTAATTTAGTGATTAATGAAATAATATGAAAACTATAAAAAAAATCGGATTTACGCAGCAAATGTTAGGTGATATATATCTACCTAAGTTTTGATGTGGAATAAGCAAATTGAAACGAGCATCATCATTTTTAAAAAAAAATGTTAAAATAAATAAGTTGATGATTACACCAAAGTGTGTAGCCAAGAGGTGAATGAAGAAGGGTAGAAATTATGAAAGTCGGTTTTAAAATATGCAAAGAAATAAGAATGTTTGGGTGAATTTAAATGATCAAAGATAGTAAGTAGTGGCGGAAGCAGTACTTTCATCAAGAGGGTACAAAAAATAAAAAAACATAAACACGCAAACGCAAAGACATTAAGAGGATTTAACACTTAATATATATACACGAAAAAATATTAACTTTATGTCTACCGTGTAATTTTCGGCAAATGAGATTTGACTGAACCCTCTATCGTCCACCTAGTTCCGCCCCTGATAGTAAGTACTGAAGGTTAAATAGTCAAGGTTCGTAAATTATCTTGAACCACAATTTAAAAAAGTTAAATAAATAAATTAAGTTAATGATTCAAAGAATGAAAAAAGAAAAAGCAGCGGCGGCCCCACTTAAATGGCCATAGGCCGCAATATAAGACCCCATTTTAAATGGTGTCTTTAACTTTTGTATACCATCAATCTTTCTTTCCTTTCCATTGTTTACAATAATCACTTCTCTTTTATCTTTTCCCATCAAAACAAAAAATGGACACAACCAACAATCTTGAAATTATCCATGATGTTTTTCCTTATTTACAAGTGTACAAAAATGGAACTGTCAAAAGACTTGTAGGTACTGAATTTGCACCAGCAACCTATGATCCTCAAACTGGTGTTTATTCCAAAGATGTTTTAGTTAATCCTAAAACTGGCGTTTCAGCCCGGATTTACAGAACAAATTCAGCAACAATATCACAGAAACTTCCTTTAGTCGTTTACTTTCATGGTGGAGCATTTTGTATATCATCTGTTGGTGATCCTAAGTACCATGATTCTCTCAATGTGTTTGTGTCCAAAGCTAATGTTGTTCTTGTCTCGGTTGATTATAGATTAGTCCCAGAACATCCTCTTCCAACAGCTTATAATGATTCTTGGGATGTTCTTAAATGGGTTGCTGCACATAACTCAAAACATGGGTCTGAAGTTTGGTTGAATGAGCTTGTTAACTTTGATAGTGTGTTCTTGGCTGGAGATAGTGCAGGTACTCGTTAATTACAATAATTTGACGTTTACTTTACTATTTTAGTGGGTAAAGTTTATTTACTTCAATGATCACATATGCTATATTGGGATATAGTCAGTGGTGAAGTCAGAAATTTTCTCGAGGTGTTCAAATTTGAAAGAAGTTAAAAAAATAATTCCGACAAAGGGTATTCGGTATATGTTATACACCTCTAAAATCTAATATTTTACCTAGATACATAGTGTAATTTTCGATGAAATGTGGATTGACCATCCTTTAAGACATGTGTTTCGTCCCTGGTTGTAGCGAGTCAAGTATTTATGTAAGGGGATTAAAAAAAATTAAAATGTCACACCTGCTATTTGAAGCTGTGAGATAAAGCAAATTTTTAACCAAATTGCTACTACATAAGAATCTTTTCTTATTTCGAGGAAATTCAACTGTTCATATATAACAAACAAAAAATTGTTTTACCCTTATTCGTACAATTTTTCAACAAAGGAGTCAATTGAACCCTTATTGTTATAGTGGGTAAATTCACTTATTTTCATGCACTTAAAAATTAATCTTTTGACTTTACTGTTAGGTTAGGTACAATATTTGAAATAATAAGGAACATTTTCTTCTGTATGAATCGATATTAGTAGATATAATTTAGTAACTTTAGTGAAATTAACTCGTGCAGGTGCTAATATTTCACACTTCCTGGCAATCAGAGCTGGAAAATCAGATGAAGCTTTAGGAATGAAGGTTTCTGGGATGCTCATGATTAGTCCATATTTCTGGGGAGAAAAACCTATTGGTATAGAGGTTAAAGATCCAAGAAAAGCAATGGTGGATAAATGGTGGGAATTTGTTTGTCCATCAAATAAAGGAAATGATGACCCTTTGATCAATCCTTTTGTTGATGAAGCACCAAAGCTTGAAGAAGTGGCTTGTGATAGGATTCTTGTTTGTGTTGCAGAGATGGATATTCTCAGAGACAGAGGGATATTGTACTATGAATCATTGGTGAAGAGTCAGTGGAAAGGAAAAGCAGAAATTATTGAAACTAAAGGGGAAGATCATGTTTTCCACATCTTTAATCCTACCACTGAGAAAGCACTTGATTTGGTCAAATGTTGGGCTGTTTTTATTAATGAAAAGTAACCGCCCTGTGATGGTGATATGTTGCTTTAGGCAAATTCTTGGGTTGCTAATAGGAGAAAATGTAGTTGTCAGCTTGTCATGTCAAAATTTGTATAATTATAAACTCCACCTGTTTCATTCCAATGTAAACTTTTTTTTCATTCTAATGTAGACTTTTCTATTTGTCTTTAAGTTTTTTAAGCCCCATTTGTCTCTTTCAAGATCATAGACAGTTTTAGATCACTATTTAAATTTTAGGACATTTCATAGATAAATCTGGCACGAGTCATGCTTTTTTTTTTTTTTTTTTTTTTGCAAATACAAA